ATCAAAATCATAACTGTTTTTTTTTTTTTTGCAAAAAATGGAAAAACTCATCTTAAAATTAATGTGAAATTCCAAGGGCCCAGAACAGGCAAAATAACCTTGAAAAAGGACAAATTTGGAAGACTCACACTACCCTATTGAAGAACTTGTTACACTGCTATCATAATCAAAAGTGTGGTAATCATAAGCATAGACATATAAGTCAATAGAATAGAATTGGAAGTACAAAAATAAATGCTCACATACATGGTCAACTGATTTTTGTTAAGAGTGTCACAGACCGTTCAATGAAGAAAGAAGTCTCTTCAATAAATGGTCCTAGGACAACTGGCTATTCACATGCAAAAAAAAAATTAAGTCAGACCCTTATCTTACACCATTTACAAAAAAATTAACTCAAAATGGACCAAAGATCTAAATGTAAGAGCTAGACGTATAAAACTCTACATAGGGTAAAGCTTAGTAATCTTGGATTTGGCAGTGGATTCTTAGGTATGACACTAGTAACAGAAGAGAAAATATGTTTAAGAAACAAACTTGCAACTTAGTAGTAAGTAAAGGATAGAAATGCACAGTATAAAGAATATAGACAACAATATTGTACTATACTCATCAAACTTGTTAAAAGACTAGAACTTAATTATCCCAACACTAAAAAGAAAGGATAATTATATAATGTGTTAGAGGTGTTAAAATATCACTGCAATGGCAATCATATTACATACAATATATAAATGGTCAAATTAACATGTACATCTTAAATTCATACAATGTTATATATCAAATATATGCAATAAAAAGAACAAAATTAGATAAGCTGAACTTTGTCAAACTTAAAAATATTTATGCATCAAAGGACACTATCAAGAAAGTAAAAAGGCAATCCACAGAATGGGAGAAAATATTTATAAATCATATATCTAATAATGGTACAGTATCCAGACAATATAAAGAACTCTTACAACTCAACAAAAAGACAAATAAACTAATTAAAAAATGGGCAACAATCCTGAACAGACTTTTCTCCATGGGAGATACACAAATAGCCAATAAATACATCAAAAGATGCTTAACATCATTGGTCACTGGGGAAATTTAAATCAAAACTACCATGAGACATTACTTCATGCACACCAGGGTAGCTAGAATTTAAAAAAAAAGAAATGGAAAAGAAAAGAGAAAGTAACAAGTATTGGTGAGAATATGGAGAAATTGGAATCCAAAATACTGTGGGTTTCTATACAAAATGGTGCAGCTGCTATGGAAAACCATTTGGCAAATCCTCAAAAAGTCAAACACAGAGTTACATACAAGCCAACAATTCCACTAGTGTGTACTCAAGAACTGAGAACAGCTCAAGTAAAAGTTTATAATGAATACTCATAGCAGCATTACTCACAACAGCCAAAAGGTGCAAACAATCTCAAAGTCCATCAACTGATGAACCAAACGTAGTCTATCCACAAAATGGAGTATTACCCAACCATAAAAAGGAATGAAGTACTGATAAATACTGCAACATGGATGAACCTTCAGAACATTACGGTATGTGAAAGAACCAGACACGAAAGGCCACATATTATATGATTTCATTTATATGAGCATCCAGAATGGACAAATACATAGAAAGCAGATTAGTGGTTGCTAGGGCCTGGTGGGAGGGGGGAATGGGGAATGATTATTTAATGATATAGGTTTCCTTTTGGGGTAATAAAAATGTTCTTGAACTAAACAGTGGCAATGGTTGCACAACAATGTGGATGTGCTAAAAGCTATTGAATTATATACCTTAAAATGGTTAAAATAGTGAATTTTTTTATGTGAAATTATCCTCAATAAAATTCTATTCTCCTTCCACATAAAATAGTACCTGAAGATATAAAAATATCAAGTATATTTTAGCTTTTTCTCTTATGAGTGGGAGCAATAGTCACTAACATTAGTTTTAGAGTTTATGAAATACTTTGCCATACAATCTTAAATAATCTTCTCAATCCATGAGGTAGATACTATTACTACAACTTAGAGATAAGAAAACTGAGGCTCAGAAAAGTTTAAGTCATATAGCTAGGAAGTGGGAAAGCTGACTAATCAACCAGATTGGTCTGGCGCCACTGAATTATACTATCTTCAAGACAAAAAGCTCTAACATCTGATAAGCTTAAAAAAGGACAGGAGATACTGTGTACAGGCATCTTTGGCAAGTTTTCTTCTTCCAAAGTTAGTATTTTAATGAATGTAGTAAAAATATTCACTGTATACAAATTAATATGTTTTAACAAAACCAATGTAAACTACTATTGTAAGAGCAGCATAAAGCAGTGTGTTACATATTTCTCCTTTTCTAATTTTCTAAAAATCTGGGTTTAAGCATTTCAGTGCAAGATATGCTAAAATGTTAGCATATCCTCTTGAAGTTTAGCATAATGTTTACAGGGCACAGCAGTGAAGTAATGAGATGACTGTACATGTTCCTTATACAAATGGCTTCATTACGTTACAGTCACATTTCCTATTAAGGATTAACTAGTGAATGACACATCAGTGGTTTTCTAATACTCTAATGAGTTCTACAGATAGTCCTGAGGGGAGAAGCTGAAGAGTCAGGATTATCCAACCCTGTATCAAGCAGAACAGCCTCCTAATGATTTTCCAAGTTGGGTTTTTCCTTAAGATACTCTTTGAAGAAAGGATCCAAAAACATATTTATTGAAAACCACAATACATTTATGGTCTTCACTTCAGACATTTTCAAAAATCTTTGCAACTTGGCAAGTATTATATAATTAAGATTATTTCTAAATACAAGCATAGAAGTGCTAAGGAGGCTCTCACTGTATACTTGTTTTATGAGTTTTCTTATTTTTTGGGGTTCAGTTAAAACCATCTTGGTAATCCCCATTTACTACAGAGCAGGCAGGATAACCACACATTGAGAAATAAGGGATCTGTCTCAGGTGACAGGGTGAAGCATGAGCAGGGTCCAGACATGAAGTTCCCCCTCTAGGTGGCTTAGCTAGCTGGATGGTACCTTGTTCAAAAAGCCTTGGTGACTTGTAGTCATTCCACGCACTGGGACCTGAAGGTACAGATGTCTCTACTTGTGCATGCCACCACTTCAGCTGGCTATAGGCCAGTAATGTCTGGAACTTGTGCTAGCTCATTGGCAAAGATTAGCTTCTCTTCCTCCTATGGTCCAGATTATCCCTTGGTTCCCTTGACGGAAAACCCTCTCCAGAAGCAACATGTGGTACAGTAGAAATTATGAAATATAAGCAGATAACCTGGGTTCAAATCCTAGCTCTATCTATTAGTATCCCCTCATGCCTCAACTCTCTGGGCCTAAATTTGTTCCTCGCACTTACCTCATGGGTTATTAAAGATGGATTAAATGAAGCAGTGCAGCAGTTCCCATCCTGCAGGCTACAGACCCCTGGGTATCTATGGCCATATTACAAGAGGTCTGAAAAAGCGTATACTAGACAAAAAGAATCATTTAGGGATTAAGAGAAAAGCCTTGGAGTACAATCATCTAGGTTCAAATAATGGCTTTATTACTGGAATAAGTTACTTAGCCTTTCTGTCTCAGTACCTCATTGTAAATTAGAGAAAACAGTACTCATCTTATTTGGTTATTGTGAGGATTAGCTGAATCTATACATGTGAAGTGCTTAGAACAATAGCTGGTATAGTAAGAATTCAACTGAGTTAGCGATTATTACTATTACATATGCTCATCCATTTTTTGAAAGTACAACTATTATCATGTGGGTGTCTGCCAAGGCTTTTATGTAAAAAAAAAAAAAGAAAAAAAGAAAGAAAAGGGGTTATTATACTTGAGAAGGTTAAAAACTGCTTAGATAAGAGTTGTAAAACTATCCAGTACACTGCCTGCCATATCCTAATCCAGAGTGGTTAAATCTGTGATTTTAATCTTTTTAAATTTAGTAAGGCCTGCTTTGTGGCCTAACATATGGTGTGTCCTGGAGAATGGTCCATGTTCTTATGAGAATATGTACACTGTTGTTGGATGGAGTGTTCTGTTCTGTACATATTTGGTATAAATCTAATTGATTTATAATTCTGTCCAAGCCCTTTATTACTTATATTGATCTTCTATCTGGTGGTTCTATCCATTATGGAAAGTAGGATATTGAACTCTCCAACTATAACTATAAAACTGTCTACAGAGATCTTCAATTCTGAAAATTTTTGTTTCACATATTTTGGGGCTCTTCTGTTATGTATACATATGTTTATGATTATTACATCTTCTTGCTGTATTGAAACTTTTACCAATATATAATGTCTTTTGTCCCTTGCAAGCTTTTTTGATTCAAAGCCATTTTGAAATTTAATAGCCACCCCAGCTCTCTTTTGGTTACCATTTGCATGGAATATCTTTTCCATTCTTTTAATTTCATGTCTTTCTATCTACTATGAGTCTCTTATAGAAAGTATGTAAGTGGATCATGGGGTTTTTTTAAACCAGTCTGCCAACCTCTTTTAATAGAATTCAATCCATTTACACTTAAGGTAATCACTGATAAGGAAGAATTTACTTCTGCCATTTATCTATGTTTTTTGTATGTTTCATATCTTTTTGTTCCTCATTTCCTCTACTACTGTCTTTTAAAAAAATTAATCTAAATCCTATTAAGATTCATCGGATGCTTGGTTTTCCCAATCAAATGATCACCTCTTCCCCTATTTAAATAGTTTCTGATGAACATCTCCTTCATGACTCTGTCCCAAAATGTTTAAAAGAGAGGACCTACCTTTCCTGGCCATGAAAGTAATCTCAGGTTCCATCCCTATTTTCACCAGTTGAATCTTTTGCCACTTTTGCCACCTCCCATACACTATACACCATTCATACATAAAGTTTACTATTAATATCTGTTCCCTACCTACATGTGGCCTGGGGTAGGCTGGATCCTAGAATATTTAGGAAGGGCCTCTTGATAACTAGCAGACAAGTGAGACGCAAAGGAGCTTACATTGTAGGAGCGGGGGTGCCTCTGTTTCCACTGCACCAGGAGCAGCTGGGCCACCACCAAGGTAGCGATGAGGATGAGGACCATTTCAGCGTGCATGGCTTCGTGGCCACGGTGCTTGGCATGCATGCGTGCATGCTCGACCCTGAAAGCCAAACAGATGGGGTAAGCCAGGTCAGGGACAGTGTGGTGGTAAAGGAACAGTGCTTTCCAGGAATATTCCACCAGTCCATGGCTTAGAACATACTCGTGTGCTTTTCAGCTGTAGGGTACTATACAATTAGGGGCTAGAAACACATGCCCTAGGGGACAGGCATTTGGGGATATAAGAGAGGCTCTGTGGACCCGTCACAAAGATCAGCTATTGGGGTTAAAGGCAGGTAGTCTGCTGCCCATCCCCTTCCTTATAGCAGGAAAGAAGTTCCAGGAGAAGTCTGTGTCACTGCCCATTTCAGTCCTTTTTCAACCTGTTACTGGAAGGAGAAAGCAACCCAGAGAGAAGGTTATAGCCATAAGGCATCATACTTTCAGTCAATGATATTTATACCAGTAACTGCAAACGTGTGCTGATTTCAGGGTTAAAGTCTTGCTTTATTCGTCCTACCCTCTCTTTCAAGACCAGGGATCCTGAAGACTAGTTAAAGCCAAAAAATCTGCTTCAACTTTATACTAATCCAACAGTGACTTCACCATCAGCATCCATGGGTAAATAGCCTCCTAAAGGACTCAAGGAGAATACAACTGGAAACTCTTATTTAATCTGAGGCTGGTATTCTCTTGTCCTGAGGATTGGTAGCAAGTGATTCCCTTGGTCAATACAGGCAAAAAGCTTCCTCTAAGAACAGAGAATAGTCACTCCAACAACTCTGTGTCAGAGCTGGCCAAGTAAGAGGAATGAGGAATGAATGAGACAGAAAATTAAATACCAATGTGCCCTGTAGTCAGGAGTTTTTATGCAAACTTTCCATACATCAGGGTATTAGGAAGGGAGGGAAAGGACAACATAGATGGTATATTCATAGAATTCCCAAGTGCAATGAAAGACTAAAAGCAAGAAGAACCCAATGACATGAATTATGGGTAGATAAATGATAAAGGAAATATAGCAAAAAGTTAATTATAGAATCAAGGTGGTAGGTATATGGGTGTTCACTGTACAGTTCTTTCAATTTTCCTGTTTGAGTTTTTTTTCTAATAAAATGTTTAGGGGGAAAACTTTGGGGGCAGAGTGGCTAGCCAAATGTCAGCTGCCAGCCAGCTACAGAACCTAAAGTTCTTCTTACATAAAACTCTATCATAGGTGGAAAATCTGACAGAAAGATAATAGGAAGTAGGAGTCAGAAACTTGGGTTCAGACACACCTATACAGCCTTGGTCAAGAAAATCTTCATCTCTACATCACAATTTCTTCATCTGTTCAAAGAAGTCCATACATTTTTTCTGCTTCTCTCATAGGGTTGTTGTGTTAAACTAAAAGGGCAAAGATTACTTTAAAAACCTAAGGACTGTGGAGTTATAAAGATTAAAAAGAGTTAAATTTCTTGTTCTCAGACAGTTTATAACTGAATGGATATGCACAAGAAATCAAAGAAAGGATCTGGAAAAGAGCAGAAATAATATAGTTCAAGTTCCCACTCAATGCAAAAATTATTTTTGCAATCCTTTTAATACTTACTGAATATTGGCTCAGAATATATACCTCTTAAGATAACCTATTCCAGAACCAACGATGTTTGGCACACTGTAGGACTCATATATGCTTATGAAGGAATAAAATTCCACTGCCTTAAGAGGTAGGAAGCTCACTACCTCTCAGTATACTAAGATTACTAAAGATGTTTCTGATAATGAGACAAAATCTATCTTCTTACAGCTTCAATCCATTGGACGTAATCCTATACTATGAAACAACAAAGGATATATCCACTATCTTTTCCCAATGCCACCCCTTTAGAGATTTATCATGACCTTATTTAAAATAACAAAACCAAAACTGAAAGAACAAAACAGCAGTAGACTCACAGAACCCAAGAATGGACTAACAGTTACCAAAGGGAAAGGAACTGAGGAAGTTGGGTGGGAAGGGAGGGATAAAGGGGGAAAAGGGGTATTATGATTAGCATACATAATGTAGTGGGAGGGAGATATGGAGAAGGCAGTATAACACAGAGAAGACAAGTAGTGATTCTATAGCATCTTACTATGCTGATGGACAGTGACTGTAATGGGGTATGTGGTAGGGACTAGTAATCATAATACTGCTCATGTAATTGTACATTAACAGCAAAAAATAAATAAAAATAAAAATAACAAAACCAAAATCAATTCAGTCCTACCACCATTTTCCTATGCCCTTTTAGTTTAATAGTTCTAGATCTTTTAAACACTACTCATATAACATAGTATGAAGTATATTAATCCTGGTTGCCTACTAGACATCATCTAGCTAAAGATCTTTACATGCAGTGTTTACAACAAAATTGGTGTGGATGCAGTAAAGTAGAGCAAGCACATGGTGCTGTTACCTCAAGGTGCATAGTATATTTCTATGACCATCTTACAAATTTCAGAATATTTTGGTGGCTGAGGTATACAAGTGGTGCATATTAAGCTTAAAGTCACCTAAAATCTTGCTGGGTTTGTTATATGAGTTGATATTTTTGTCATTTCATATTTTTGTAATAAGTAGTTTTAATCTAAATGAAGGTTGTTTTTTTTAACCCCCTCACTATTTAACTTTACTTGGTTAATTTCAGCTCATTGGTCAGCTTCATTGTGAAGTCTACGGGGCAAGCACTCTGAACTCCTTTACTGATGAGAAATCATGACTAAGATATTTGTTGACTCACTCTGGTTACAAAGCAAGTTAGTAGCAGTGATGAGATCAGAAAACAAACCTCCGATTTTCTTAACCAGAGCTCTCTGCCCTGTTTAGCGGATAATGACAATGCTAATGATGATAATCTTCTTCAAAGCAGGTAACACTTACTGGAAGCTTACCACATGCCAGGCAATGTTCTAAGAATTTCACATATATTAATCCTCACAACTCTATGAGGTATAGGTACTGTTGTGATCCTCATTTTACAAACTGGGAAAGCTAAGGTAGTGTGAAGTTAAGTAACTTGCCCAAGATCACATAGCTAGGAATGGCAGAATTAGTTTTCAAACCCAGATAGATGGTTTGGTACAATTACCTATAAACTCCCCAGGACTGACCCAAGTACTGGAAAAGACCCCAAATGACCTCTTACTGGTCATGAGTCATTGCCTCCCACAGACAAGAAAGCAAAAGGAAAATATTCCTTCAGTAATTATGATGTCAAAGGCTCAGTTCCCCACTGTTCCTAACTTCAGGAAAGTACTTAGGTGCAATGTTTGAAGTAAAATGGGCAGAACTGCATTCTACTACTACAACTCCATTAGCATGATTAACTACAGTTCCCAGCCTCAGGGGCCCGCACTGTCACACTTACCTCCACTGCTCCTCTGGGGAGAGGTCTGACATATCAACCTGTAAAAAGACACCACCAGAACAATCCATTACTGTCTCAGAACTGCCCCTGCCCAACGTAAGGTGCTCACGCATTCATCCAAATTTTCAAGAATTACTGGAAGCTTCAATGGTCACAATCTCTATGAAGCCATCCCCAGTACTCTATTTCCCACTGATCTCCCCTTTCTCTAGCCACTTGCTGCTTTGGCTCATCTATGACTGGCAACGTGTTGCATGTCTGTGCTAGTAAATGAAGACAGAAGAGTAAACCTAGCTCCCAAGATGCTCAGTCTAGTGAGGAAGTCAGACACTGGCTAGAGCAAAAAACTATGAATCAGGATTAGTGGGAGATGAAGCTAGATAACTATTCTGTCATATAATGCCATTTGACTCTAAATGGCCCCAAGGTAATGGGCATAACCTTAGACCGGGGAAACTAAGCTATAGTTGCTGCTCTACTTTGAACTAGCAGTATGGCCTTCCAACCTCAGAGTTGGTTCTATGTGTTAGTCTTGTTCTTTTAGAGCAGGGTTTCTAACTTTGGCACTAGTGATACTTCGGGAGAGGTGGGGAGAGGGGAGCTGTCTGCACATTATAGGATTCTGAACAGCACCCCTGACCTCTAGCCAGAAGCAGCCTCACAGATGCAACAACCCAAAATGTCTACAAACATTGCCGAATGTCCCTTAGGAAATGAAAATTGGCTCCTGTTGAAAACCACTGCTCCAAAGCAAGACTAAACTCTTGAAATTTAGGGTTCAAGTTAATTCCTTGTAGCCATACAGAAGTCTACCCAAGTCTCAGTACATAAAGTTACTCAATACATTCTTATACTCAACTGAGCTGAAAATGAAAATGTTCCTTGATGTCGGGTAGAGAAACAAGGCCTCATAACCACTCAAATGAATCAATCAACAAATATTCCTTCAGTAATTATGATGTCAAAGGCTCAGTTCCCCACTGTTCCTAACTTCAGGAAAGTACTTAGGTGGAATGTTTGAAGTAAAATGGGCAGAACTGCATTCTACTACTGTGTCAAATTGGCATGTATGTTCTGGGCATCCCTTATGTGTGTGTACTGAGAATGCCTGTCACTATTTAGGGAGGTCTTTCTGGTTTCTACAAGTCCCAGCTAGTGAAGGAAAAGAAGAAGAAGAAAGAAGTGGGAAAAAGAAGGAAGAAGGAGGGAGGGAGAGGTGAAGAAAGAGACAGAGGAAAGGAAGAAAAGAGCAAGAGGAACAATATCCCAAGGCTTAGCCTCGTCAATCAGGGTAATAGAGTCAACTACCTTCCTTCCTTTTCGTACTTCACATGTTGCCTCACAGAATTAATTCAGGTTTCCTGACTCAAGCTTTCATCTTCTCAGAAAGACAGAGGTCCCCTCTGAGAAGGGACAACGGGATAGAAGACAGGGAATGGAAAGGCCCCTCTGGGAGGTACCTGAGCAGACAATCAAGGAACACATATCTAAAGGAACAATCAATACAGATGTCATGCTACCTATCAAAACTATTTTTCTCCTTTCTAACTTGGACCTGCATTGCACCAAGCTGATCTATTCACTGTCCCAAAACATATGGGACTCATTCTTCTCTGGGCATTCTCACACACTTCCTTTGGCTTACAATACTCTTATTTTTTTCCTATCAAAATCCAACTTAGCCTTTGCAATTAAGCTGCAATTTCACCTTCCCTGATCCTCTAGCTTAGTGAATTTAGCCCTCTGCTTTTCTCCAGCATGGATTTTTCTCCTTGCTATTCAAAGGGCAACTGAAAGATACCCAAGGACTAGTATCAGTGTTATCTGGGTGCTTGTCAGAAATTCTCCACTCCAGACCTACTAAATCAGAATCCTCCTTTTAATAAGCTCTGGAGATGATTCATATGCACATTAATTTGAGAAGCACTGTTCTATACCACTCATTCATAGACTTATGTTACCCTAGACATGCTTTCCAGATGATCTAATTGCTTCTTAAGTCCAGTGCCAAACTTGGGCTCAAAAATCTAAGGAGGCTCTCATTCTCAGGTACTGACCCTGCACTTGAATGAGTGTGTGGGCCGTGAGAGTGTGTATCTCCTTAAAATTTGTGCCCCGGCACTTTGTTTCTTCACCCTATATCTATCTTGCTCTCATCCCATAAAGTTGGAAGGTGCCACAGATCCCGGAACATGCTGGTTTTGTATTTTGTGGAGAATAGCACAGAGTTGAGCGTATTACTAGTACCTAATGAATACTTGTGGAATTGAACAGATTTCTCTCCAAGTGTAATACATAAGTATGCCAACAATCCAGCACCCTACCTGGAGATACTTAAATGTGAGAGTAAACAACACTTGAAAAATACTTAATAAGCATCTGGAAAAGAAGTATTCATTTAACACTAGAAGGCACCCAGAAAATTATGTCAAGAAACTACATGTGAAAACAACACAACTACATGTTCAAAGAAGCAAGACACACCCATTTAAGGGAAAACCAGGAAAATCCATAGATATGGGCCAAGCATGTAGACACCTCTCCATGAGATAGTGACCAAGCATGCATGCTACTGTCTATGTCTTAGTTTCTCTATGTGGAAAACAGAGAATAAGACTTCTGATTTCACTGTGGGACTGTGAGGGTAAAACCAAGTAACCTCACTGCCTTTCCTCCTCAGAGAGTGGGAGTACTTTATAAAGTACCAGGAGAAGATTGGGAACTGAATGTTGGTGAGGCACAGAGCAGAAAGGCTTTCAGAGCCTCAGGGAAAACAGCTGGGAAGGGCCAGCCTGAGACTAGGCCTGAGGCTTAGAGGACCATTTAGCACATCATGAATAGTATGAATGCTAAAAGTAAAAAAAGACATGATTTAGCCTTACTATTTGCCTTCCAAACCAAATAATTATTTAAATTACATCCAAGCCAGTCTTCCAGCTCAAGTGGAAAAAACAAGGACTGTTACAAACTATAGATACAATTAACCTGTATATATCTTTATTTGTTCTCTCTCTGAGTTTATTCATCTGGGGTCAAGCAGTAATAAGCCAGTCTGAAGGGTCCTGTCCAGAGCTTAGGAAGCTAATCAGGTAGGCTCTTAGGGAAAGGTTACTGACTGATGGGCCCACATCCTACTCCTAAGACCTATACACAGGATTTTTTTTTGCCCACCAATCACTAACTTCCTAGCATCTGACAAGGCACCTAGTCATGCCAAGCTACCTAAGTTCAGATTTGAAAGAGGTTAATACAAAAATCTCAGGCAGAAGGCAAGAGAAATTTTCACAGAAATAGGAAATAAGATGGACTGCTATTTATTCTTAAGTGCAAAAGACTGCAGGACCCACCAGTGCAACCCACAGACGGGCCTTCTGTCCCCCACAAATACTGGATACTTTGTGATCTTTGAGTCTGTACACACCCTGGTAACTCTGTGCCTTAAGTCCCTCTCTTCCACCAAACCACACTGTGACTTCCTGCAAAATACTGACCAGACCCTTCTGACTCCAGGAAGGCTCTTTAGAATGACTGCATTCATGAAGAAACAAACATCCTCTACTGCCTTGCAATGGAGGGGGCACAGCCCAGCAGTGTCAGCACCCTGAGAGCTTATTAAGAAATAGACAGAAACTCAGAATCTATCTCAGACCTCCCAAATAAGAATCTGCATTTAATAAAGTACCCACGTAATTCATATGCACGTTTAAGTACCATACACAGTAACTCCAGTGCCCTGCAAGTTCTGTGCTTGGCTTATTCATTTGTACATCCCCTCAACCACTAGCAATGACTTCATTGTTTTACTGTTTCCATGGCACTGCCCTTTCCAGAATGTTATATAGTTGAAATCATACAGTATGCATCTCTTTCATGTTGGTTTCTTTCATTTGGTAGTATGCATTGAAGATTCCTCTGAGTCTTGGTATGAGTGGGATCACGGGAAAAACAGTATAGTACAGAAAAGACAAATAGTGACTTTATGGCATCTTACTACACTGATGGACAGTGACTTCAATGGGGCCATTGGGAGGACTTGATAATATGGGTGAATGTAGTAACCACAATGTTTTCATGTGAAACCTTCATAAGAGTGTATATCAATGATACCTTAATGAAAAAAAAAGATTCCTTCATGTCTTTTTATGGCTTGATAGCTTGTTTCTTTTTAGTGCTAAGTAATGTTTCACTGTTTGGATATACCACAGTTTATTAATTCACCTGCTGAAAGACATCTTGGTTGCTTCCAAGGTTTGGCAATTATGAATAAAGCTGCTATAAACATGCACATTTTTGTATGGACATACACTTTCAACACCTATGGAGAAATGTCAATACCGATGGAGTGCAATTGCTGGACTGTATGGTACTATGTTTAGTTTTGCAATAAACTAACAAACTACCTTCCAAAGCAGCTCTATTATTTTGAATACCCTCCAGCAATAAAAGAGAATTTCTGCTGCTCTACATCCTTGTCAGCTTTTGGTGCTGTCAGTGTTCTGGATTTTGGCCATTCTAACAGTGTAGTGGATATAGCATTGTTTTAATTTGCCTGAAACACACAATGAGGAGTATCTTTTCATACACTTATTTGCCATCTATAAATCTTCAATGGTGAGCCATATGGACAAGTCTTTAGCCCATTTTTAATCAGTTATTTTTCTTATTATTGAGTTTTAAGTGTTCTTTTGTGTATTTTGGATTACAGTCCTTTATCAGACAGGTCTTTTGCAAGTATTTTAACCTAGTCTGTGGCTTGTCTTTTCAGTCTCTTAAGAGTGGTTTTTGCAGAGAAGAAAAATTTTAATTAGGTCAAGTTTATCAATTCTTTCTGTCATGGATCATGCTCTTGGTGTCGTATCTAAATAGGCACTGCCAAATGCAAGGTCACCTATTCTTTTTTTTTTTTGGTATCATTGATATGCAATCGCATGAGCAATACTGTAGTTACTAGATTCTCCCCATTATCAAGTCCCCACTACATACCCCATTAGTCATCATCCATCAGCATAGTAAGATGCTACAGTCACTACTTGTCTAC